CTGTCATCGGGCTGAGTTTCAGCTGGTGGACAGGAGAGTGGATGGGCACAGAACTCAACACTGAGGTAGGAAAGGCAAAACACGAGCCTTCAAAGTTTTTGCCTAACGTCAGTTCTTCTGCAAAGAAAGATGCAGCTTCTCTTTTGCACGAGGCGACAGGGGGGCTGGGAGTGGAAGACAAGATCTCAGACTCATATTGTAGCAACTGGCCCATGAAACCAAAGTTTGGCGAGATCAGGCTCCGGCGCTGCTTGATGTAATCGAAGGCTTCGTCCAGGCGGAGCTTCTTCGTCTTCATGAGATACGCCATGCAGATGGTGGGAGAGCGTGAAATCCCCGCCTCGCAGTGCACCAGGATCTTGCCCCCCGTTCGTCTGACATAATCTAGGGGGAAAAAAAGTCATTGCAGATGTCAGCTGTCGTTGGGGATGGAGAGGGCACCGCGACACACATCCAGCACTGGAAGTGGGGCATGGCACGCAGCCCATCCACCAGCAAGGGGAAGCTTGCTCTTCTGTTGGGTTCTAAGGGTAACATGGAGATTGAAAGAGAAAGGGGACAAAGCCCAGCCTGAGATGGAGCTGAACTGCAGGTGATGCTTGGTTTCAGAATCTGTGGATCCTGATTTGTTTTTTTCTGCCTTTTTTTTTTTCAGGAAAGTCCTTGCCTATTTCTCTTTTGGAACAACTGACTTTACAGAGCATTGCGAGACAGAGGTCAGGTATCTGGGCAATGCTTGTGTTTGCTGTACCTGCATTTCTCTGCTGTACCTGCATTTTTCTGCCTGCAGGTCAAAGTGCTGACCCAAGCCCAGCCTGACCAGCCCTCCCACCATCAGGTCTTTCAAAATCTGCAGGGCTGCCTTCCTCTCATCAGCTTTGCTAGAAAAAACAGGACTTTAAAGAAAAGTCCAAACCTAACTCCCTGCTTGGCCAGTCAGCAGCAAACAGCAGTTGCAAGAGCTGAGCCCTTGGTGAGTACCCTTGGGTGGAGAGGCTGAGCTCGCTCCCTGGGGCCTCACCACAAAGCACACAAGGACTGGTAGGCAGTTGCTAATTACAGCCTGGTTAAAAGATGCTTGGACTTAAGTCAGGATATAAAAGGCTTATGCAAAGTACCCATTTTACACAACAGGAGCCACTGTGGTTACTCACACAACACAATGATTGTTATTAGATTAAAGAGAATGTGCTTAAAATATGCCCTTTCCACACAAAAATACAGTTCAAAAATAGACCGTCTCTGCTCTATTGCCTTGAGCAACGTGTTCAAGCTCCAATTTATGGATAACTGCGCTGAGTGTAGTGCTCAGTGAAACAACGCAGAGCTGAGCAAGTTATCATTATCATTTGCCTGTCTTCGATTGTCTGCCGGGGGACTGGTGCCACCACGACTGGTTATATTTAACTACTGCACAAAATAAGGAAGACATGGATTTGAGTCATCCCCAGCATCTACACCACACACCCAGTTTTATAAGAAAGTGAAAACTAAAGTCATCCTCAAAATCTGGGAAAATTCCAAGTGACTCAACAACTATCAGAAGGGGTTGGGGATGAGACAGAAGAGTGCCGTGAATTAGCGTTTCCCTGAAAGGTGTAAGAAGTCCCTTACCAGAAAGGGGAAGGGCTCAGAGGGCACCTTCAGATCAGGTTTTTGCAATTCTGCCTGCACTGTCAAAGGGCTCAAACTCAGCTGAGCAATGAGTCCAGTGACTCTGTAACTGGGGTTTTATTTTTTTTCTCTCGAACATTCCTAGAGAGCAACAGCACCGATTTCAACACCATCTCCACCCAGGCTCAGGGTGCTCCACCCCACTAAACCACCCCGTGCCTCTCAGGAACGAGCCTCTCCCTTGCACTACCTGGCACGGCTGGTATGCCGCTCACCTACCCAGCCTAAGGCAGGAAGATTTGGGAGGGGATGGCCCAAAGTTTTCTAAAGGCACCCTCATGCAAAAAAATGAGGAGACTTAAAGGGTGAGATACCGACATTATTGAAAGGAGAAATGGAAAGAGCTCTGATACGGCACGATGCTGGATTTCTAAGACCCCAGCTTTGGGATAGCTCAGCACAGTAAGGCAATAAGCTGACTCTGCTTCACCTGGCTTCTACAGGGTCTAGCATGCAAGTCCGAGGAACCAATATGGCTTTTTCCTTTACAAAAATCAATAGACTTTGGTGTTATTCAACCATACTTCTTTGCTCCCTGTCATGCTGAAGTTACACCTACACTTAGCTTTATTTTCTTTTCAAAGCAACCAGCTCACTCTCCTTGTCTGCCTGACTGCAGTCAAGAAGAAACATTCTCCTTCCTTGCCTCTCAGCCTGGAAAGGAGGACAGAGACCTTGCTCTGAATGTCCGTCTTCCCTCCTTCCTTGCAGAAATCCCTCTGCCAGGAGAGATGCTGGGGAAGGAGGGGAGCTTAAAACTTTTGCTGTGACATCTGGGAACATAGAGAAAATAATGTGTCCTTCCCACTGATATGTATTTTAAAATAAATTAATTTAAAATACATGAAGATCTGGAAATTTGTTAATTTGAACCTACCAATGAAATCAATGGCTTCCTGGAAGTGTGAGCTGATGTCTGCCGTGTGACTGTCTTCCACTGGGATCCACTTGTAGCAATACTGGTCTTTGAAGGACTCTGTGCTTTTCCTGGAGACATTTAGCAGGGCCGTGATGTGCAGGTTGGCGAGAAACTCGCACTTGGAAGCGTGATAGGCACTACCAAGGTAGAGAAAAGGCAGGATTTCAACTGGACCTCCCTGGAAGAGAAGGAGCAGAAACATATAATTCCTTTTCAAAGATATTTGAGTAGTGATACCTGAGAAAGAGGCAAGGGAGCCTGCGTGGGTGCCCGCTCCCTCCCTTACTGGCATTTTTGAACTCCTGTGCTGCTGGCCAGTGAATCACTGTGATGGCAAAGCCCACGCAGGAAAAAGGTTTTCGTTTTCTTTTCCACATCTGTGAAGTACAAAGTCAGATCCAGCCCACTCACGTGCAGGATGTTTCTGGCTTTCTTTAAAGCGCTGCACCTCGGGACGCACCCAAAGCGTTTTCATATGTGGGCCCCATTCCCTCTGAGGCTTTATTGAAATATGGGTCAGCTGGGGAGCCACATCCGAGCAGGGAGGGAGAGGAGGACAGAGGAAGAGGCTGCTCTAACTCAACCCAGGGCTCAGTCCCTCTGCTCATACCTCCAAAGGTGAAGCAAAGCAAAAAAATTGGAGCAAGGCTCCCCTTCCCCCCTGCACCTCCCTGGTGCACAGCACCCATCACGTCACCCACCCTGAGATGTCATCTCAGTTCCTCCTTCCACAGTGCAAGCAAAGGTTGGGTGACGAGACCGCGAAAGAAAAAAAGCCAGTGCCTGACACAAGGGCTTCAGAGATCGCAGGTAACTTTCCATGATGCACAAGAGCTGCTGCCAGCCCCCGGCTGCAAGAAACGAGCTTTCCATCCCCCCAAGCTACCCACCCGGTGAGTCCCATGCACCGGGGACAGCTGGGAGGTACCCAGGGTGGGAGGACAGAGCCTGGGGTGGGAGGTGCTCCTGGGGGCACAGGGGGGCATCACCTGGGGGGCTCCCCTCAGCGCCAGGAAACACACACCCCGGCGGAAGCAGCCCGACCGCAGGGTGACATCTCGGAGCACATGTATTCCCCGGGCTGAGTGGGTGTGCGGGTGTGACAGCTTCCCCCGTGGAAACCCCACTCCCCCTGCCCAAGGGTGGCTCTCAAGAGCCACTGCCTCTTCTCAGAAGCGGCCCCCCACCCCCCTCCACCAGCCTCAGATCCCTCCTGGGGTCTCAGAGGAGGCACGGGCAAAGCGTGCTCCTTCGTCTGCCGGAGAAGTGACACTCCTGGCAGCCTCCCCCCTGCCCGTGTTAAGTCCCTGGACAGGCACAAGCTGCTCAATGGCTCATGCTGCCTGGCCGTGTGATAAAGATGGGTCGCAAATACAGTTTTGGGGCTTGCCAGGGTGGTTTTCCTCCTTCTGTTGCCTGATTTTGAAGCCAAGCAGAGGCAATGCTGACCAGCAGCACCCACAGGACATCTTATTCAACACACAGGTTGCCAACCCGGACTGTGACAACTTATTGACAGCCTGCGCCAGCACGAGGGCCGCTGGCACCCTGCCAGCCTCCAAGAGAGCCCGGTGGCAGGAAGGAGAAGTCCCAAGGGGAAGGTGACCCACCGCGGCTGTGACACACACCTGGTCATAAGCGGGTTTGTGGTTGGCACTCTGCTTCTCACAGTGGCTGGTGAGGTTTCTCTCCGCCTCGGTCCTCTCCGGGGAAATGAGTTTTCCATCCACACAGCACTCAGGATATTGTGAGTTAAAGGTTTCATATCCCCCTAGGGAAAAAAAAAATAAAAATATTTGTGCTTCCAAAAACCAGTTTAATTAAAGCGGAGGAGAAAGGAAGCTCTGACACTTGCAATGCAGTGGGATAGTGCTGCTTGGCAATGGGATCCGGGGGGGTTCATGAGGGACAGTGCTCCCCTGGGGAAACGGGTTTGTTTGAAAGGTTCGGACACCCGATGAAAAGCCTCTGATTATCGCTGGCAATTATTAACTTGCTGAAAGCCAGTGGATCCAGATTAAAACCGTTAGCAAATGTAATTCTGTTGAGTCTAGCAACCATTAACTCCAGTATAGCGGGGACTAAACTCCCTCCCCCAGGTTTTATATATGAGCACGATTTCTGGCATTTGAGATGGAGGCTTCTGTGCCTAGGAGTCACCTCTCCAAATCTGTCATTACTGTGTATTCTGTGACAACATAAGAAATATTTTATTGCATTTTTGAATGGACATAAGCACAAGAGAAGAATGCTTGCGACTGTGTCATTAATCACCACAATGCATGAGACAGCGAGGTAACACAGACAGTCCCACTGAAACCAATCTATTAAATAACAGCTATAAAACCTAATGAAATCCTGTGACAGCATTTGACAACTGAATAGCCCCACATGAGCTATTCTGCATGGTTAAGTACTGCATTCGTTTCATTCAGTGCACTGCTAATGAAAAGGAATTAATCCTATTATTACATTGTTACTCAAAGTTTGTAGTCAGCTAAATCGTTGCCTGTTTCCAGGCTGGGAATACGCTGCACGGAAGCAGACTGTCTCCAAAATGAATGTGAATAAGTCAGGTAGTAGAAGCAGCTTGGAAACGTCAGTGGCGTGCCACATGTCTGCCACCTGTGCTTTTTCAGAACAGAAATGAACGGCAAAAGCTTTTGAATGGCTAGATTTAATAATCCATCAGAGTGTGCCCCTCAAGTAAACAAGGCTCAAAGCAAACCCTCCGATGCGATTCATTCACCTGCAACTGTTCTGCCCTGATAAGCGGCATCGGTGTGGGTGCCCCGGTGCAAGGAAAGGTTTCAAAACAAAGGAAGCGCTGGAGATCTGAGCAGACGCA